AGGGGAGTAGAGTGGGAGAATCTATTTAGCTAGTTCCTCAACAGCATGCTGAGCAGGTGCCCTAGGCAATGAGATAGGGGGTGTGACAGAGAGGACAGCAGAAACTAGGAGCAGTGGAGTGCTGAGAGGGATAGAGGGGAGGCAGTATTAGGGTTAGGTTGGGTTCAAATGGTGAGGGTCTTGAATTCGGGCTAGGGTACATACTCTGAACTGAGCAAGTGGGAGGAGGCTAGGAGTTTTATGACTGTGACTTGCCAAGTATATCAGTTAAAGGGCCATTGGGAGGCCATGATAGTCTTGCTGGAGGCAGTGAGGGCCACAGTAAGGGTGGTGTTCCCTGTGATTTCTCTCTTAACTGTCACGTGTCAGGCTTGCAGTGGGAAGAGTGGAAGGGAAACTGAGGAGGCATGCGGCTTACTCTCTTGGAGTGTGTAGGCAAAAGGAAGAGGTAAGATGGAGCACTCACCCCAACCTGGGTTGGCCAGGAGAGAGAATGGTAGGAATGTGGTCCCAGAAACTCAATGGAGCGTTGGAAAGGGTGAACAGGCTGTGCTTCTTTGGAATGGGTTCCAGCTGTTTCCTCCGTGTGCACACTGGTGAGGGAAGATGCAGACTGAGGTGGGTTACGTTGTGACCTGGCTACACGTAAGATGCTGTGGAGCCCCAGTCAGTGTGCCTGACACAGCTCCACACCTGTGTTGGGTTCTGAAGTCTGTAAAACACTGAGTTTTGGGGAATAGCCAGGGAGGGAAGGAAAAGAGGGTAGGGGGAGAGGTAACCTGCTGGAGCTTTTCCCCCTAGCCACTAAAAGGTCAGTTATTCATGTTTCCACTTCTTAATCATCTTTTAAATTTAACTAGATAAAATTGTATACATATATTATACATATGTGTGTGTCTACATTGTGTGTGTGTGTGTGTGTGTGTGTCTGTGTATATGTGGTTTTGTTTTTGGTGATTTGGTTTTGTCTTTATTTTTGAAACAGGGTCTCACCATTTAACTCTGACTGGCCTGGTACTCAAAGTGATTCTCCTTTGCTTCCAGAGTGCTGGGATTAAAGCTATGTACTACCACATCTAGCTTAACATTGCATATATTTATGGTGTATATCATGATACTTGATACCTGTGTGCAGGGTGGAATGGCTAAAGTAATTAACATGTCTGTTACCAATGGTTACGCTGACTCTGAATGGTAGTAACATTAAAAATCCATTCTCTTAGCCATTCTCAAGCACCTATAGACAGTCATCTAAGAACAGTCACTGTGTTGTAAATGAACATCCTTTGACAAACACCTGCCCCTCCCCTGCCCCCGGCCTCTGAGAACTATCATTTTATTTTTTGCTGCTTGATTTTTTTAGGTTCTGTGAGACATTTCTCTCTGTCTTTCTTACTCTGATAACACAATCTCTATCAGGCTATCTATTTCATTTCATTTCATTCAAGACAGAATTTCTTTTGTTTTAAAAAGCCACAAAGTACTGTAGTGAGCCCATGCATGCATGCATACGTGTGAGTGTGTGTGTGAGTGCGTATCTCCTACACTGTCTTTCTCCACTCACCTGTTGACACTTAGGTGGACTCCCTCTTCTGGCTACTGTGGACAGTGCTGTGGTGAGCATTCCCTGTCATTCATCATTATTTTCACAGCCTTTAGAAAGGGGTCTCTTTGGAAGAAAGTGCTTGTGGCTGGAAGTAAACCATGAAAGACAGAAAGGTTTGTTATTAAAAAGTACATGATCTGTTGGAGAACAGAAGTCCTGAGGGGAGCGAACGGCAAGGCATCTTAGTTTCACCGGTCAGTCGGGCTAGGGATTGGGCCCATGGGAAGCCAGCCGTCCTCTGGGTCACATTCCCTGTGGCAGTAACTGGCAATGTCATTGCCAGCACAGCTTTCAGTGCCCTGAAAATCGTCCTGTTGAGCATGGGGCTTAGAAACTGTGAAGTTTGGAAGAGAGCGGGTTTGACTCAGGAGAGATTCTGGTCTTCAAAGATAGGAAGGATGCAGCCCTGGACAAGATCTCCCACCAGTGAGCCATGTGAGGAGGTTACTTGACTTTTAAAGGTGTTCCTTCTGGGAATGAAATGGAATTGTGAATGGTAAACAGTGTATATGTGTGCTCATATTTGTTGTTGTGTACGCCAGGAACCAGGTTAAGTGGGGAGGGAACAAGCACAGTCATGCCACAGTAGATGTGTTGAGGTCATAAGACTGGAGTTTTCCTTTCCACCCTGTTGAGGCAGGCTCTCCTGCTGTTTCTGCCATGTTGTGTACTCCAGGCTAGCAGGCCTGTGAGCTTCCGGGTAATCTTCCTGTCTGTGCCTTCCATCCTGCCATGTAATGAGTACCACCAGGCTCGTTACCTTGGTTCTAGGGACTGAACTCAGGTCATTCAGTATGACACAACTACTGCTTTTACTCTCCGAGCCATCTCTCCAACCCCTTCTATGTATATTTCTTAATTCCTCATCCTTGCAATGATGTTAGGAGGTGGGGTCATAGTCATGGTCTGCATTGATACGGATGAGGCACCAGAGAGCTTAAGACATTTGTTCAAGATTGTTCGCAGATCAGTGGCAGAAGCAGGATTAGCACACGGTCTGCTTGCTGACCACTGGTGCTTCACCCCTGCAGATCGTCTTCATTGCTCTCCATGACCTCATGAAGTAGTGTCGAGGTTGATGGTGTTGCATCAGGAAGTGTTACCCATACCATACTCAAAGTAGACAGAGTTCTATAAATAGCAGCCAGAGTGGTTGCTGCCACAAAAGGTTGAGTGCAGAGTCCTAGGATAGCTGTGTTTCATGTTTCTCTTTCGCTGGCTCCAAGCCTCCTCCACGCTTGCCAAGAAACCTGTGTTAAAACCCCCTGCTAGCCTTCCTTCCTCTGCCTGCCCCCTCCACATTACCTCTAGTCACCACACACTCCTGCCACTGTGGTGCCCCAGCGTTTGGGATGCTCTAAAGCTTAAAGCCATGTGCCATCTTGCTGTGTGCATACTACTTCAAATCTGTCATTTCCACATTAGATGAAGCTCGTTGTTCTGTTCCACTTTTCAGTCTGAACCAAATTTTGACTTAACAGAAGGGTCTAAAGGCCTTGAATGTGGGGTGCTGAGGGTCTTGCATGTCCTCTGCATATGACAGTTCCTGGGAGGTTACCTCTCAATCACTTGCTGCTAGGAAAGCTTATGGCATGTTAGCCCCCTTCCAGGAGATGGGAAGACAAGCTCAGAGCCCCATCCACCCCCTGCACTGCTGCCCACACACACAGCAAAGTGATGCAGCCTTGCCCCCGCTACCACTGATGTCCCAGCAACCTATGGTACCTACTTACACAGCACCCACAGCATCACAGCTGGGCTGCGCTCACACAGCCAGGAAGGGGCCCTGTGGTTTTACCTCTGCAGTGAAGCCCAGTCTTACAATTACATGCTTGTGAAGACGACATTTGAGAGAATTAAGATTTTGAATTCTTTCCATTTCCTAGCCCTGTTAATCATTCTTGGAGAAGTCAGGATGTTATAAATTTCATTAGAAGTGTAAATCACAAAAGAACAGTTCCTTGACCTCAGCAGTTTATAATCCATGTGAGTCATAAATAAAAGCAGCAAGAAATAAAACAAAATTGCTAAAGGTGATGGAGATAAAGAGAGCCCTGGAAAGTGGAAGGCTCTGTTTAAGTCGAATGATTTTTCTTATAGAAGGCAAAGCGCTTGGAGCAAAGAAAATGTAGACTTTTCTAATAACCTTACCATTAATCCAGGGGATATATCTTGAATTCCTACTGTGTTCCAGGATCTTGGGGATGAGACTCCCAAGCAAAGAGTAGTTGCAGAGTGAATAACTGGTGTAGGAAAGATGTATGGGAGCTCAGAGAAGGAGAGCCATCATCCCTAGGGACACTGAGGGTCGCAGACCATCCCAAACACTGTTGTACCACAAGGGCATCCACCTATATGGTAGTTAAAAGCCTGTGGAGGGGGAGTGGAAAGGAAGGAAGGCTACCAAGGGGTTCTAATACATGTTCCTTAAGGAGGCAAGTGAGGAGGAGCCTGCAGCCAGTAATGATACAAGCGTGGAAACACTGTGGGGAAGCGGGTGGTGATATTGAGCAGACTTACCAGGGCCAGGTTCACTATGTGATGGCTTCATGGTTGGCAGAGTTACAGGGTGAGTTATTTGTGGCAAGAAAAGGAAGTCCTTTGGGGAGTCTAAGCTAGGGGGTGTTGGCTGACTGAATACAGATTCAGTGGAAAATAGCAAATGATGATAAGAATATGAATGAGGACCTGGGGACCTTGCATTTGGGGCACAGCCAGGAATGGCAGGAACCTGAGCCCTAGTGGGCCTCAGACTGTGGATTGTCCTCTGTGTTAGAACTTTGCATTACTGTTCCAGTGGGAGCTTCGGAGGTCTGTGGGCTTGCTTGGCCTCCCAGAGACAGTCTTGATAGGATGTGGACACTTAAGTTTCTGAGATCACCCTCAAAGATTCCAACTGCCTGTAGCACCTGCTAGCATCCCTCATCCTATGAATAAGTGAGGATTCTGACCCTGGGCATTTAGCTTCCTGCCTTGGGCCTTTTCTATTTTTAAATTGAACCTTATTTTTTAATGTATATGGGTATTTTGCCTGTATGTTTGTCTGTGCACCGCATGTGTACTATGTTCTCTGAGGCCATAAGAGGGGATTGATTCCTGGAATTGGAGTTACAGATGGTTGTGATTGCAGTGTGGGTTTTGGGAATTGAACCCAGGTCCATTGCAAGAGCAGCAAGTGTTCGTAACTTCTCAACCACCTTGGCAGTTTTCTTAAGGCAGATATAGGAAGAAGTGATTTAGAAACACTCTTATAGGGTCTTTGCTGCCCAACACAAAGACTTGATTTCTATCCTAGGAGTTGATAAGATGGACAATTTGTCACAATATGAGCGGTTCTTGGCTTGTTCCCTTTGCCAATTCTTATGTTGCTGTGTTTTTGCTCTCTCATCTTCAGAACCAGAATACCAAGTCTACCTGAATGCGTCTAAGGTCCCTGGGTTTTCAGATGACCCCACAGAACTGCAATGCCGGGTGATAGACATGAAGCGCGTGGAGGCCGGTGTCCGACTTACCGTGTCATGGTACTACAGAATGAACCGTCGCATTGGTGACGAAGTGGTGGCCAGTGAGCTTCTTGCAGTCATGGATGGAGACTGGACTCTAAGATACGGAGAAAGGAGCAAGCAGCGGGCCCAGAGTGGAGAGTTTATATTTTCTAAGGAGCACACAGACACATTCAGTTTCCGGATCCAAAGGACTACAGAGGAAGACAGGGGCAATTATTACTGTGTTGTGTCTGCCTGGACCAGGCAGAGAAACAACAGCTGGGTCAAAAGTAAGGACGTCTTCTCCAAGCCTGTCAACATATTCTGGGCCTCAGAAGGTAGGAACTTCATGTTGGTCGTCGTTCCGTTTTGTTTTAGTTTAAGTCATCTGTCTGTGTCTGTTTCAGTTACCATCACCCTCCACTCACACTGCAAATCTATACTGATACTTGAGGAAACTGTAATCCCCCATGATCCTCCTTGCCCCCCTTTATAGACTCTGTGTCCCCAAGCTACGAGGGAAGGGCCTCTGCAACTCACTGTTATTAGCAAAGCCTTGCATTTTCTGCACCCCATTGTTTCTTTTTCTTCTTTTCAGCTGCCTGCCTCCTCTCTGAGAGCAGTTGTCCCAGAAACCCTCCTAAGTGATAAAGTTTTCCTCTCGCATTCCTTGCAAAGAAGTCAGGTACCCTCCTGTTCCTCAGTGAGATTTCTACCATTTCCCCTCTGAATCTCCTTGCCCAGGGCCATATCTCTTCCTCCTCCCTCTTTCTCATAGCCCCTCTTTCTCATAGCCCCTCCTATCACTAACTTGATTGACTCCTGGGTCTTCTGTTCATTTGCTGGAGATGCCAGCCTTGCTTTCACGGCCACTCTGTTACTACTCCTATCTGGCTAGCTTTATTGAAGTCATCCTGGAAGATTTCAAAAAGCAAAGATCCCAGTAGAAATTATGTTTGGATTGGTCCGAGGTGTGTGTAGTCTGGACGCTGGTATTGAATCCTCTCGAGTAGCTACCATGGAGAACCCTGGTGTAGACAAGGCTTTCATTGTCATTCCCCTGTCCTTGTCTAAGTTCTCTCCAAGTGTCACATCCTCTGTCCTTTTGGGTCCTTCATTCCCAATTCTGAAAATCAGACCAGCTCACTTTTGATAGCTGAAACCCAACTCCTCCATAGCTGAAGTTTAACATGCCTGGTTCTCTGTGCACACAGTCTTTCTAGATTATTCCCTGTAGTGTTTCAGACCTATTCATCCTACCATCTGACATTGTCCTTCTTCCTTACTTGGTCTTCGCTTCTCTCTTACCAGAAGTCCACCATGTACCTGTGGGTCCAAGGCCAAGGGCCAAGGGGTAAGGAGAATTATATGATCACCACAGTGATATCTTAACCTAAGTTCCCAGTCAGTCATGTCCCTCCTTTGCATCCTTAACTCCCTAGCCACCGGCTTGGTCTACCCTATATTCTACTTAAAACACAACCCTATTTAAAGCCAACTTTGCTGTCTCCTTGGCTGCATATGCAGAGCTAGAGGCACTTGAAGGAGAAAACATTCCAACAGTGGTCTGGTTTCACTTTAAATCTCCAATCCCTTCTGTCATATGGGCTCTCAACATTGAGAGCCATTCTGGTTTCCTTCATGTGTTTACTTCCCCACTCTCCTAAGTGATAATTGCATGCCACCTGCTCTCTCTACAAACATCCTCCCCCAGCCTCCATCAGCTTCTGGCCTTGCTTCTCCATCCCCTATAAAAAGATAGTCAAAGGAGAACTTCATCTGCCAGCAGCATTGAGCCTGTTACTCACCCTAATGTCTTAGCAACGGTCAGCCCCTTTCACAGCTCAGGCACATGACCCTCTCTCTTATGTCTTTGATAGTCTCTCTCCTCTGGTCCTTCCCAACCAGCCTGTTAACATTGCTGTTAGGAAAACTAATTTTGATTGTTTTGTTAAACAGGGTTTCTCTGTTTAACACTCCTGGCTGTCCTAGAACTCGCTTTGTAGACCAGGCTGGCCTGAAACTCACTGAGCTCTGCCTGCCTCTGCCTCCCAGGTGCTGGAATTAAAGACGTGTGCCACCACCACCTGGCTATCTTCTTCTTTCATCTTTCTGTTTCTTATAACCCTTGCCCACCGCTCTGTCCTTTGGTAGCAGTGGATTTGATTGAACTATATTTAATTTCTCTATTTCTCCTCCATTTTTCTTTGGGACCTACTTTCCCCTCACTGCACATATTAAGATTGCTAGACATCAACACACTACAGAAACCTGTTATCATTTTTCTTCCTTCCAGAAATGCCTTGGCTTTCCCATGGCTTGTAGGATGCCTTCCCCAGATTTGTTTCTGTATTCACTGGATGCTGCATCTCAGCCTCCTTTGCTGCTTCCTGTCCATCCTCCCAGTTCCCATACAGGAAACGTCAGGACAGAGTTCCTGAATTCCTGTTTACCTCCCTTAGTGATGTCTTCACACTCCACCAAGCAGTGACTGCCTCCCAATTCTGCATGTTTATCCCAGCATGTTCTATAACTCTAGATTCAGTGTTATGCAGCCTTCTTGCCTAGCAGACACCTTTCAGACTTGTGTCAGAAATGGAACCTCTGGCCTCTGCAGCCTATCTTTGTTCACCTTTGGTTGCTGACCTAAACCTTCTCCCCTGACTCCTCATTCTTTTTATTCTGTTTGCTTTGTTCAGTTTCAAGTGCTGAGGATTGAACCTAGGATCTTAAAAGCATTATGCAAGCTAGCCACGCCTTGGCTCCTAACTTCCCCCTTTTGGTTGCTGTTTGATTGACTTGTTGCCTTTTTGTTTTTAGAGGCAAGGTCTCTTGTAGCCCAGTCATCCTCAAACTCACTATGTAGTCAAAGATAACTTTGGACTCCTAATACTCCTATCACTACTTCGTAAATGCTGGAATTACAAACACCACCATGCCATTTCTCACTCCTCGTTCTTGAGACTGATTTAGAGTCTAATGACTCTGCTATCTCTCACTTGTGTTTATATCACCTGCCTCCTCTCTGATCTGCTCCCATCCACCCTTAATCACACCCTTAGCTGCTGGGCAGCGGTGGCACACACCTTTAATCCCAGCACTTGGGAGATAGGTGAATCTCTGAGTTCAAGGCCAGCCTGGTCTACAGAGAGAGTGTGTGTTCCACACACTTAGTATCCAATCAGATCATGAAATTCTTCCACCCTGGACCTTCACAGGTTCCCAATCTCAGAGTCCCCTAATAGACTGATGAGCTAACCCCCACAGCTCTTTCCACTGCCTACTCTCCCCTGCCCTTCCCCTGGTTCCCCTCACCATCTGATAAGCTCTATAGCTCACCATTTGCCATCTCTGCCTAGAAAGCTTTCCCACCTCCCTCAGGTGCCTAGTCAAATGTCATCTTCTTAGTGGGACCTTCCTGGGCTACTCTGTCTATAACTCTACTCCCTTTCCCCATACCCAGTCCTATACTTGTCTTTTGTCTGTTTTTCTTCTGTGGTGGTTCTCACATTTTTACCACCTAACCACACCATGTGTTTTATCTGTTTGTCCTCCTCTACTGGCACATAGAGTGAAGGGTTGTTGTGCCTTTGGTTCACTATTCCATCACCAGAGCCTATGATATGGCACCAATTGCCTTCTCTGCCTTTACATGTCCTATTGATTGGGGTCATTGCACTGGTGGTCATCTGATTAAGAAGGCATTTCATGGCTGGGCAATGGTGGTGCATGCATTTAATCCCAACACTCAGGAGGCAGAGACAGGCAAATCTCTATGAATTTGAGGCCATCCTGGTCTACAGAGTGAGTTCAAGGACAGCCAAGGCTACACAGAGAAACCCTGTCTCAAAAAAAAAAAAAAAATCCAAAACAAAACTTTTTAAAGGAAGAGGCATAATTCATTTCATTTTTTAGTAGTTATTTGAATACCTTCCACATGCCTGACTTTGCTAGTGTGACTGGAGAAACCTAACGTATACATGCTTAGGGATTAGTGTTGGACAGAGAAGCCCAAAGAACACACAAACCCACTGGTCGTGTAGCCATAGACATTGGCTCAGAATCCTAAAACCACATCTCTGAAGTCAAAAGTGTAAACCAGGTAGAAATGGCCATATCTGCAGATGCAATTGCATTTAGTGATACATTATAGGGCCAGGCAGCGAAGAGCCATGCTGGCACATGCTGGCAAGCAGGCTAACCCTCGGCAGAGAAGACTGTGGTGTGGCTAGCCTAGCCTATCTTCCCTCACTCTCTGAGTCTTAAGAGGCCCGATAACCCTCTGAGTTCTCTCGATGAAACATTTCAAGGATTTGAAATTCCACACACTCACCAACCATTGCACCTCAGATCGATTCTGACCACTGCTCCCCCTGTGGCAGTTTTTTAGTCTGTTCAGACACCTTATTTTCTTTTGGAGGCTCCATGTTTTCCTTAGTTATCGTGTGGCAAATTGCACATAAATCCCTATTTCCTGGATACTTTGATTTTTAGATGCATATCCGTTTTAACCAAACATGTTGGAAATGACCTCCTCCCTCTGTTTCTTCACTCCAGATTCTGTGCTTGTGGTGAGGGCACGGCAGCCAAAGCCCTTCTTTGCTGCAGGAAATACATTTGAGATGACTTGCAAAGTGTCTTCCAAGAATATTAAGTCACCACGCTATTCTGTTCTCATCACGGCCGAGAAGCCTGTTGGGGACCTCACCAGTCCCAATGAAACCAAGTACATCATCTCCCTGGACCAGGATTCCGTGGTAAAATTGGAGAACTGGACGGACGCATCGAGGGTGGATGGCGTTGTGTTAGAGAAGGTTCAAGAGGATGAGTTTCGATACCGAATGTACCAGACTCAGGTGTCTGATGCAGGGTTATACCGCTGCATGGTGACAGCCTGGTCTCCTATTGGTGGTAGCTTGTGGCGAGAAGCAGCGACTAGTCTCTCCAATCCCATTGAGATTGACTTCCAAACCTCAGGTGAGCAGAGAACTCCGTGAAGCCATAGATTGAACAGGAAGACAAGCCTAACATTTCATCGAGGGTCCTTCTTATTTATTTGTTTATTTTTGTGTATGTACAAGTGGTGTGTATATGTGGTATATGTGTGTGATTTATGTGCACATGTGTGCTTGGAAAGCAGAGGAGGTATCAAGTGTCTTGCTCTGTCACTCAACAGTTTCCTGCTGAGCCTGGAGCTAGGCCGATGGCTAGAAAGCCAGGGATCCTCTGTCTCCACACCACCAGCAGTGCACACACAGTTCTGGGGTCACAGGCACATGTGGCCTCATGGGGCTTTTTATATGGGTGCTGGGGATTTGAATTCAGGTACTCATTATGAGGCAGCAATCACTTTATATACTGTGCTGTCTCCCAAGCCCCTGTCCTTGCTTTTTCAAATAGCTTGTGAAATGGAATTTGTGTGCCATTTAGTTTATCCCTGTAAGGTCTGTAATTCTGTGGCTTTTCACATCTTCACAGGATGGTTCGACCATCAATCACCATAGTCAATTATAGAACATTTCTGTAGTGCCCAGATGAAACTCAGACCCCTTAACCAGCAGAGTCCAGCCTCCCACCCCAGTAATCACTCTGCTTTCTCTATATATGGATTTTCCCACACTGCATACTACACACATATGTCTCCTTTGTATCTGACTCACTTAACTAAGCATAGTGTCTTCAGATGTCACCCATGTAGCAGCATGCTTTCCTGTCATGTCATCGTTATGACTGAATACTATCGAATCACATGGTTAGGCCACACTATCATTTCGTCAGCTGATGGACAGTTCAGGTGTGTCTGGTCAATTTCCCACTGTTTTAATTCTATCATAAACACTCATGTGAAAGTTGTTTATTTATTTATTTAAAATGTATTTTTTTATTTAAAAAAAAAAAAAAAGACAGGAACTTATACCTCAGTCCTCAGGGGACATAGTGGAGAGAAAAGCATGTGGCTGTCAAAGCAGATGGTTCAGAATGGGAGCCTGAATCTGGTCTCGTTTCATGGCTTCCAACTCCAGGACTGTAGGTGGTGACCGAAGCTCTGGGATTGGATGAACTTCTGTAATTAGGGGTCACCAGAGTTGCTGTGGGACTGTGTATTGGCGACTCTCTCAGCTTGGTTTGTTAAGAATAGTTATTTGTGATATTTATCTTTGGTGTTTATTGTGTCTGCCCAGAAATGAATTCATCCTTAGTGGAAATATTTCACACTTAAAGTGTGACTCAATAGGCCTGGACACACCTTCTGTGTTGTGTGTCTTTCAGTAGGAAGATGGCTTTTAAAGCTTCAAATGCCCAGTCTCATTTAGATGATCCATGTGAAAAATTGTCATCTGTGAATATTAGACTAACAGTTCTCACTAATCTGCCCTTGTTTGCTAGTTAGGGATTTGGGTTTTTTGTTTCGTATTTTTTTTTTTTTAAGTTGGGGATTTTTGAATGCATACATTTATGCTCATCTACAAAGATTCTGTCATTAACTGAATCAATATAACATATGCAAGATGCTTTAATTAAATTATTAACTTTTGGAGGTGGAGAGATGGCTCAGTGGTTAAAAGGACATAACTGCTTTTGCAGGGGACCCAAGTGTGGTTCCCAGCTCCAGGAAATCCAATACCCTTTCCTGGTCTTCCTGGGCAGTTGCAGTCATGTGCACATACCTATACACATAATTAAAAATAAAATGTATCTTTTTAAAAAAATTTTTAAATGTGTCACCACACTTGACTCTTGTTGGGCATTTTGTCATGGAAAGGACTTAGCCACTTACCAAATGATGTCCCCATATTTGTGTTTGTTGAGATGATTACATGATTTTGTCCTTTTTTCTGTGTTTCTGTCTTACTATCTGCTATGGTCAGTTCTATCTTATTTTACATTTGCTATTTGATCATTCTTTCAATTATGTAGAAGAAGGGAGATATGAAGTCCTTTATGTATTTCTGGGTTAGGGATGGATATTGGGTTTATTTCTTAATTCTTTAAATCTCAGTTTGTCAGCTGGTAATCTCTTCCAGGTTGAATAGATTGCCTAAAAACTATATTCCATCTGTGGAATTGTGACAATCTGTCCCCATCTTCATTAGAAGCTGCCACCTGATTGACCAGCCCAATGCTAGAGCCCCAGATTGCCTCCTCCACCCCCAGTAAACAAGAGTCTTTACTTCCTACACAACAGCACTTCTCCTTAAGATCCATGACGAAGAAGTCCTCCCTGGCCACACCATCCTGTCACCTAATCTACAGGCTTGTTCTCTTGTTAGTGGGTCTGAGTTTCCCAGGGGAAATCTACTAGATCATGGCTTTTACTGACCCAAGTGTCAGGGTTAAAATGAGACTTAAACATGATGATGTAGGCACCATCCTTTTAAAGGAGTTGCAAGTTTTTCCTTTTTAATATAGAAATTTGTAAATAGAGTGAAAGCACTCAGGTATTAAGAGCACTGGGCATTCTTCCCGAGGACCTGGATCAATTCCTAGTACCCACGTTGCAGGTCACATCTGCTTATAACTCCAGTCCCAGGGGATCTGACACTGTTTTCTGGCCTCCATGGGAACAACACATGTGCTCAGATATACACGCAGGCAAACTGGGCATACACTTAAGATAAAAATAATAATTAAAAAATTAAAATAGAGCCATGCCGTAGAAAGTAGAACAGTCACACCCCCACCTTTACCCTGCCCTATGAAACACTAATTTAGGTTGTTCATCTTTCTAGAACTTTTCCTCTGGTGTTATCTTCGTGACTTGGAAATCTTGGCTGTACATAAAATTCTATGACCCACTTCCTTCCTTTAATGTAAGATAATCAGTTTTCCTGTTACAGTCGATGCTAGGTAGACACTAACCCAGTGATTGCAGCATGTAGCATCACTTAGCCATGACCCCATGGCTGGAGGAGCAGATGGTTGCAGTATTTGCTTACACAAAAATGCTGCCCTTCAAGCCTTTTTTAAGGGTGGGGATGGAACATGGCTGTGTCAATGTTTGTATAAAAGTTAAGTGGTCCCTATACTGTCAGCCGACTGACTAGGAGTTTAGGGACCCCTATTGACTGCCTGCTCACTGAATTCCTCAAGTCTGTGGTCTGCAAAGCTAACTAGACAAAATCCCTTACAAAACAGCAATGCCACAAAAATAGACAATAATGAAAATATTTCTAAATATCCCACTATTCTGGGATAATGACCTTATTAACATGGAGCTATTGATTTCATTAGAAGGAAATCCAGTAGTGTGAGTAGTTCGTTTGCCACAATGAAGGCCTTCTTCCCCAGCCCTGTCTGTATTGTAAGACAGAGCACAGACCCTCTCACACCCTCCCTTAGTTCCCACGGCAGCCACCAACCACTAGGGGAATGGGAGTTATGACTTGTGACCCAGAAGGCATTTGGGGTTTTCTTTGGAAATATAAAGAAAAGTGACATTTGTTCAAATTAGGTAGGTCTTTCTTCATTGTTTCAAATAAGAAAAATACACAGTTGAGTATTTCATTGTTTGGTCACTTGGGGTTCTCATAGAAGGACCCTGAATGCTTTATCAAAGAAAGCCCTTAGTGGAGTTGTTTATTACAATGAAGTTTCCAATCTTTGCGAAAATTACAATCCCTTGTTCACCATGGCCACTGACACCCTGAGCCAACAGAAACAACATATCCAGTCATTTCCACAGAACACGTTCAGAGCAGTGAGGCTGGCCCTGTCCTCCACACAGCTGTGGGCAGAGCGGGGCCAAAGTATGAGACTCTAAAAAAGCCAGGGCCAGAGCTGACACACCTAGAGGAGAGGATGTCCCTTGGACTGCCATCCTGCCATGTTCTCAGCCCCTCTGGAGTTTAGTCCCCAGGTCCCTTAACAGACCTACCTCTGTAACCAGCCTTTCTTTACCTTTCTCCTCAGACCATACAAATTATTCATGTCCTTAGTGCTAGGAAAGCAATTTCATGACTTTTTATGAGTCATCAAATTGAAGTGAAAATAGAGCCAGACTCATTTCAGCTCATTGCCTCATGACAGTGCGACCTTTCACACACTCCTGAGCGAGTAGCTTTTTACAAATGTTTAAAACCACACTTTGGAGTAGATTTTCCTTTTCAGCAATCTGAACAAGGAAACAGGAATGTGCCTATTCCTCAAGTAAGCTTTACCTTAGCTTCCCAGGCTGTTTATCTATGCTCTGCTGAAAATCCAAGTCGACTCCCATGGCACTGATGTTCTAGAACATTCTTTCAGTTTTTTCTATTACTAGATTTTAAAAGTTGGGGTGATAGGTTAATCGGATCAGTTTGGCTTGAGCTATGAAATGCCCTTAACCTAAGAAGGAATCAGAGATAGGTTCAAAGTAATCATTAGGCTACTGTATTCTTGGGGTGTGGGGTTGAAATATAATTTTAATTTCACAGCAAAATTGACCCAGACATATAGAGAGCTCCTATGTGCACCTGGCCTTCCCCAGTTTGGTTGGTCTTTTAAAGGACTCTCCAAGCTGTCTGTTTTTCCCCTGAAATTCTAACATTTTCTCAGTGCCCCCCAATATACTTTATCTAAGCATTGTCATTGTTGGGGAATCTGATAGGAAGTCTGTCTCCTACATGGGTCTCAGCCCTTTAACTCTGAGATCTCTGTCCCCATCAGTACAGCAGAACATACTGAGGCCACTCACCCAACTGAGACCAAAAGCACATATAGTTTAGTTACTGGACCTATGGTTCTAACCCACCCTGGCTAGTTTGAACTGCCCTGAACCAGGCACCAACCTAAGCCTACCAGCTGGGAGGTGAGCTCATCCTATCAACACATACTACCACCGAAGCTGTAGTCATCAGGCAGACAAAGTTCAGTTCGGATTTAGTCAGGACTGAATTCAGGCAGGTGTGCCCGATGCAAGTGTCTCTGAATAGAGAAAAGAGATCTTTGAATACCTATTTTATGATTTCCCTAGACTAGTTCCCAGGAAAAAGAACTGCATTTAGATGCTATTGGAGCTTTAGGAATGGAATTTGAACTTGTGTGAAAGAGAATAATGCAACTTAAATGGCACTTTCTTCCAGGTCCCATATTTAATGCCTCTGTGCATTCAGACACGCCATCAGTCACCCGGGGAGACCTCATCAAATTGTTCTGTATTGTCACTCTGGAAGGAGCAGTGCTGGATCCAGGTACCTCCCTCCGTTCTTTCCCCTTCTCCAGTTGCTTTTGTAAATGTTTCTCTTGTCATTCTCACTGTGTCACATAGATGTAGGGACTCGGGTTTGGATTGTCTATTCATCTTTACTTGTCTTAGGTAGGTAGAGGTTTCTGTTGCTGCGATGAAACACCATAACCCAAAAGCAAGTTGGGGAGGAAAGGGTTTATTTAGTTTTTACTTCTGCATTGTAGTCCATCATTAAAAGAAATCAGGACAGGAACTCAAACAGAGCAGGAACCATAGAGGGATGTTGCTTGCTGGCTTGCTCTCCATGGCTTGTTCAGTCTGCTTTCTTTTAGAGCTCGGGGACGGCACCACCCACAAAGGACTGGGCCTTCTCCCATCAACCACTAATTAGCAAAGTGCCTTACCACTGGATTTTATGGAGGTATTTTCTCAATTGGGGTTCTCTCCTCTCAGATAACTCTAGCTCGTGTCAAGTTGACAAAAGACTAGCCAGGACACTGCTTTTCCTGACTTGGTGCGGTCTTGGTTCTGTGAGGCGTTGTATCTGCTGTGAGACTTGAAAACACTTTTCAGGGCAATCAGTACATCTCCTTGTGGTTTATTGTGGTCTGGTTTGAGACCCATTCACAGGGTCCTCTTCCTTCTATATGTCATACATTCATTGTTTCTGAGCTCCTTCAGTACACAAGAGTGGCTGTAGATGCTGGTAATAGAGCAATGAACATGTTCAAGGTCTGCCCCAGAGAGCTTGTAGCCTCGTTAAGGACACCGTGGAGAAATACAGACCAGAGGAAGAACGGCAGCTTTTAGAACTTTTAGGACAGCTCCCTAAAGCCCTTTCTCCCATTGTACTGGAGGTGAAGCCTTGAGCATGCTAAGCCTGTCCAAAGCCACGTCCCCAGCTCTATGAATCTCTTTACAGAAAGGATTAGCCTTGCCAACAGATGCCTCAGAATTGTGGGCCCATCCCTCATACAGTTTCTGCTTGGTGCATTTAGCAACCAGGTGACGTCCCTCTCCCATCGGTTCCTCTGGTCTTGAAGGAGCATTAAGGCATTAGGGTGTTGTCCCTGTTGCTCAGCAGTACTGTACCCACCTTTGCCTTTTCTCGAAGGTTCTGTGAAGAGCCTAGCTTGCTGAGGCCTGCCCTTCTCCCTGACACCCCTTGTGACCCTAACACTGTCTCGCTCCACCCCATTCCTAACAGAGTCATGCACTTTGGAACAGTCAAATTGTGTGAGTTCTCATGTGTTTCTGTGTGTAGACCACTGGAAATTATGGCCCTGTGGGCAGGCAGGCAGGTTTTGTTCTCTGTGAAGGGGCAGTGCTGATGTGCAGGGATGGTGGCCCATGCAGGCCTCACCAGTGTCAGGAAGTAATGGACTGAGTAGCCACCACCTTAGAGCGATCCTGCCTCCTTCAGAACTTAGTTCAAAGATTCAGGTGACTACCAGTTCAGGATATACGCATGCTTCCTGGGAAGAGGCCAGGAGGAAATAGTGTTGGCTCTGTGGGTAAGATGGTCTCAGCAGCTCAGCCCTGCCTCAGACACAAGGAAGCATCAGTGGGTAACAATATGAACAAACAGGCATGGCTGAAGAGAACAAGGGAGGCTCCATCTGACCTGCAGGCATGGTTTCCTGATGATACCAACATTTGCTCTCTAAGTCCATGCGCTTTAGAGGTGGGAGAAAGCAGTTTGTAGAAGGGAAGTAAAAGAAAGAACCCCACTCCTCATCACCATCACACACACGCACACTCACATACACTCACACACACACACACTCACACACACACACACTCACATACACTCACACACACACATACTCACACACTCACACACTCACACACACTCACACACTCACACATACACACACACACACTCACACACACACTCACACACTCACACATATACACACACACACACACACACACACACACACAGACAGAGAGAGAGAGACAGAGAGAGAGACAGAGAGAAAAAGAGAGAGAGCAAAAACAATAGCAAGAGAGTGAGGGCTTCAAGAAAAATTCTTTTTCCTCCCTCAGTCTTAACAACAACGAAAACTGCACTATTCAATTTTGTACACCTGCAAATTCGCTATTATGCTGAAACCATGTTGAGGTATTTTTTTGGTTCTTTGCAAGAAAACATCAATTTTCTCACCAATGAGTCTTGGACTGTAAGAGGCACTGGCTGAACATTTGAGCAAGCTAAGCAACTGGAGCAAGGGTTTGCTCTGCTTATGAGTTAGCTTGTTCACTGGGGTATAAGGCATGAGGAGACTGTCTCTGAGGCAAGCCAGCAGCCACTGCTGTACTGAAGCGGGGAAGCATGGAGACACAAAGGTACCTTTGAAAGTGGAAATGAGGGAGAAAGTAGAAAAGATTGCCAGGGAAAGGGAAGCAAAACCCCTTTAAAAGTTCGCATAGAGCAGTGTTGTTTTAAAGCTCATTTATGATAGATTCAGAAATAAACCCTCTGAGTGCTCTTTCTCAGCAAATTAAGAGGTCGCCAGTTGTGCCTTTCATGTAAAACTCTCTTTTCCAGTGTAATTGCAAAAGCTATAGGTAGCTGGTATCTTGCAAATCACAATTTTCCAGAACTTTGCACTCTTGGTCTGTGTGGGTGGAAGATTCTGAATAATTAAACACAAATTGTAATTTCTTTCTTTCTTCCCTTTTTTTTTTTCATTCATCCTATGGGCTCTGAGAGGGAATTCTCTGTGGGAAAGTTGCATAAGTGGGCCAAGAGCCAAGGCACTCCTGTACCAAGGCAGGGTGGGAGCAGCCAAGCGTGGGTGGCGCCACGGTCAGGCTCTGAAGCAAAGCAGAGGGAAGTGTGAGTCATCGAGGTGTCTCCAGAGTGTGCTGTGAGGGTGCAAAGGGATGGAGCCCCCACAACCGTGCTAATAGTACTTGGAGCCAGAGTCGTTAAGGAGCTGGGCTTTCATATACTTGGTGCCCAGTCATTGTCCAGAGGCTGAGTGGCTGAAGTTAACGGTGCCTTGTAGGCTCTGGGAGGCGTTTCTAGCAAGTATGGTGGCTCTGGAAAGGTACAGTTTGAGAGTGTGAGCGTCTAGTACCTACATCAGTGTATGCAGCTAGAGGAGGTGGATCAGCACAGCAGCTGTCTGCATGAGGGACCCACAGCCTTGGCAACAGATAGTCATGCTCTTACTCCTAGCAGCATGTGCTTGTCCTCATGTATGGATATGAGGGCAGTCACTTTAATTAAGCACTCACTGTAGTCCAGGCGTGGTTCTTGCAGTATTTGCCCATGCTGTTAGTAGCATTTTTTAGATTTATTTTTTATGTATATGTGTGTATGTCTGTGTGTGTCTGTACACAAATGAGAGTGTATGTTTGTGTGTGTTTGTCTGTCAAAGCCAGAAGAGAGCGTCAGATGCCCTGGAGTTGGAGTTGCAAGCAGTTGTGAGCCACCTGACATGGGTGCTGGGAACTGAACCTGGGCCCTCTGCAAGAGCAATAAGTGCTCTAAACCACTGAGCCATCTTTTAGACCTCTAGCAATTGTGCTTTACAGATGAAGAAACTAAGTTGCAGTGAACTAACATGACTTGTTCAGGTCATGTGGCCAGTAGGTACTGGGGTTCTAGCCCAGGCTAGCTCACCCTACCATCCTATGATGCATAGTAGGGAATGAAGTAATGGGGACACCTCTATGCCTTGTCTTTAGTAGCCACTCTAGGCTTGCACCTGACAGCAGAGTTTCCATGGGTAGAAGAGCCTACTGTGTCCTGGCACTGAGAGGAAATGAGGCAGTTCACAGGACTCCCTCCACTCCCGCCAAGCTGGTCTCAGAGACTTACACACTGGGAACTGTTTATACCGAAGTACCGAAAGGGTGGGTGGAGGAGAGGGATGATATGCCTTAGCTGTGAGCGGAGAAGGGATTATCATTTGGACATGTTAGGAACTGCCTACTTTTAGTTTCGCTTATTCTGCCTTACATAGGTCTGTTTGCCTCATAATGTGTTTTCCAAAGTTCCTGGTGTACTGTCACTGAGTGAATGAGTGTTATTTTTTGTTATTCAGCAAAACTGATGTAAAATGTCCCAGACCAGGGGTGTGGCTTACCAGAAGTACACTTGCCCAGCACAGCACGGCCCTGGGTTCAGTACTCAGTGGGGCTTTTTGTTTGTTTGTTGTTTGAAAAAGGAATTTTGTCAAGCAGATTTAAGATGTAATTGTGTTTATGCTCCACGGTCCTCACATGCCTTATGGATGAATTTCTCAGCGCAACAGCTGGTAGTGGTTGGTACGGTCAAGGGGGGTCTGGGTTTAGCATGTGGCCTCAGTTTCCACATTCTCTGTACCATCCCCTTTCTCTGTTGCCCATCTGAATTCATTGGAGGCTGTTAGAATCTCAGTTTCACAGAGTACTCCATGATCCACCAGCTTACTCTCTGGGACTATAAACTGTGTTCAATTTTCTCTGCTTGATTTTTTTTTTTCCTCTCTTGTTTTGAACTAAAACACTTCTAAAGGGGAAAAAGAAGAAGAAAAAAAACTATGGTGAACAATAAAATCCAACTGTCTACAGCTTTAAATTGGTACAGTTCATTTTACTTCCATTTTGTTCTTTCAACCTTGCAGTTTTTCCAGTTTCCAGTTCTTCTGTTTCAAGTGTCAAGGGCCTCTGCACACCATACCCAGGCTTGGCACACAGGACTGTCTGTGGGAAGCAAAGTGATCCCAGGTTGTCTTCCTGTGGGTCCTTAGAGTTGTGGTGGCTAGGTTGGACACTTGGTCATACACCTGTGAGTGTGTGGCCTAGACAGGGGTGAGTGTGACAGTTCATCATCACAGGCAGGCTGAGGGTTTGTACAGAACAGACCCGGCCTGGACTAAGGGTGTTACAGACATGTGTACATCACTCCTCATACACTGACCTCAGCACTTTGGCTTGGTAATCCACAGATGACATGGCCTTCGATGTGTCCTGGTTTGCAGTACACTCCTTTGGCTTGGACAAGGATCCGGTCCTCCTATCCTCCCTGGACCGGAAGGGAGTCGTGACTACGGGCCAGAGGGACTGGAAGAGTACTCTCAGCCTGGAGCGAGTGAGCGTGCTGGAATTCTTGCTGCAAGTGCATGGCTCTGAGGACCAGGACTTTGGCAACTACTACTGTTCTGTGACTCCATGGGTGAGGTCACCAACAGGTTCCTGGCAGAGGGAAGCCGAGATCCACTCCAGGCCCATCTTTATAACTGTGAAGATGGATGGTGAGCTCCCTCACTGTGTGTCTGGAGTACCTTCTTGTGTTTTGCTACAGCATGTAGAATCCAGATTTCCATAGTTTGGTCCAGCTTGTTTTTTATCTAGGGTGTAGCAGTTTTGTAAGTTCCTCACTTCGAAGTCCTGGTCTGGTAACACCACTGGGAAAGGATGTTTAGGAGCTTTTCTGTGGTTCTGTGGAAACCCACTTGCTACTAGGGAAACACTGTATCCTAAGGCTGGCATGGCTTCTGCCATGGGGGGGCAGGGAGCTCCAGGGGAAGCTGTAGATTAAGGACTGACTAATCTTGCCCACCTGCTGCTTTTGTTTGTTTTGGAGATGTGATCTCATGTGGCCCAGGCTTGCTTCAGATTCACTCTCTTGTACAAGGCTGGCCTTGAACTCCTGATCTTCTCACTTCTACCTCCTATCACATATTGTTTTACTTCTTGGAAAACCACTGGCACAGAGTGCGGACCTCTTGTAACCCTGAGATGGGAGAGTGTTTCATAGCTTTACTGACCCATACCAACCCCACCCCACCCAGACCAGCCTAACCAATCAATCTCTGCCCCTTGAGCATCTCAGAGCAAGACAGTTCTCCCTTTATTCTCAAGAAACACGTCTGTCCTGTGAAAGCTTCAGAAAGTTACTCCATTTGGATGGAACAACTCCATGGAGAGAATTGATTCCAGATGCTCCAAGGGTCAGGAGAAGCCTGACCAAGAATGTGTTTCCCTAGTAGCAAATCAGTTTGAGGGGAAGGGCCTTCCAACTGCAGCTCCTCCGCAGATCATTTAGTCGTTCTGTTGTGTGACCTTTTTGGGAGAGTCTACTTATTGTCACTGCAGGTGAAAACAATGACTAGCCAAAGAAAGGATTTCACCCAAGTCCAGTTTGGTGACCCAATGAGTTTATTGGTGTCACCAGAGTATGGGCAGCATTCAGGCAGCCATACCACTAAAGAGGAAACCCCCGCCCACACCCCCCACACATACACACCAATAATTACCAACCACTTGTATATTGGAATAGAAGGCCTCATGCAGATAAGCATACCCAGCCTGACTTGAAGATGACAACAGCCATGCCCTGTTTGGAGGACAGAACTCCACAATACTTTCTGGTCCATGTCCTGAAAAATGTGACAGTAGTCTCCCATGGGGCTGTTATGAAAATTAGATCATTCCAAACGTTAAGGACCTGGGTGGAGGCAGCATCTATACAAAATGCTGGTGCTTAGTGGGAGGGAAGATGGAGCTCCCGGGGTGGGATCTAAACTTCTGTCATCTCTGCCTCGTTTGCATCTTAAACTCTGCTTGAAGCAGCTCCATATGAAAACCCAGATTTACCAAACAAGGAGGGGAGTGATTATTCACTTTGCTCGATAATTTACTATAGTGTTACTTAAAATAGCATCTTCAGTATACTTCAGTTATTTGATGCATAGAATTGATTTATTCAGTTTTTTTTTTTTTAAGGATGCATCTGCTGCTCAATGTGCGGTGCCCTTATACTGACTTTTAAAAATCAATCTCCTGCCAAAACCCTAAAAAGAAGTTGACATTCAAAGGCATCAAGTAAAATCTCTTTACTGTGTACCCACCCCCATGTGCCCAGCTCTGAAGAAATGACTGGGGGACATTTGCTCATTTCTTCAATAGAGCTGGACCACTCCTTTCTGAATCCCATGCCAGGTGCAGAATATGGGATGTATGAGCTCTGCAAATCTGTAGAGACCGGATGGTGGGGGTGCGGGGCACAGACAGGGGATGGAAGGAAAGGGAGGGTGGGAGCGAGTGCTTCCCAGCACCCTCCTTCCCTCTCAGCACTAACCCTTCCACTTTCTCTCTCCTGCTCCAGTGCTGAATGCCTTCAAGTACCCACTACTGATTGGCGTGGGCCTGTCTACAGTCATCGGACTCCTGTCCTGCCTCATCGGGTACTGCAGTTCCCACTGGTGCTGTAAGAAGGAGGTTCGGGAGACACGCCGGGAGCGCCGCAGGCTCATGTCCATGGAGATGGATTAAGCAGAGGAGATGGAGGGACAGAGGAACATTGTAGGAATGGTGGGGGTGAGAAGAGGACCAGTGATATTTTAAAACAAAGTGTGTTACACTAAAACCAGTCCTCTCTAATCTCAGGTGGGACTCGGCGCTCTCTCTTTTCTGCATGTCAAGTTCTGAGCGCGGACATGTTTACCAGCACACGGCTCTTCTTCCCACGGCACTTTCTGATATGTAACAATCGAGTGTGTGTTTCCCCAGCTGCAGCTTTTTAATGGTTAACCCTGGTCTAATTAGTTTTCTCCTAGCGGCTTATCGACCCTCTGATTTGTGTGTGTTGATCACTTTTGATGTGAGGGATTGTGGTGAGGAAGGGTGAAGGTGTTCAGAGTTGGTCCTCGTGGGTGAGAGGGTACCTGCCCTCCTGAGAACCAGCATCCACAAGGGGCTGGCATCTGGAGAGTTGCTACCTGCGGCCCTCCCTGCTGGCCCAGAGCTGATTAAGACCTGCGCCAAGGCAAGCTGTGGCATTCACTACCCTGCCCATCCCCCATTTTCAGGAGTTTAAACTATGTTAGAACCTAAACTCAGAGTCTATGACTTCTTGATCCATATGCCCTTTGTGTTTTCCCTTCTTCTCTACCCTCTTCCGTTTCCGGGTTTGTTTCTGTGAGAGTGAGGAAATGGCAGCCCTGGAGTCTAGAATTTGGCTTTCCACCAAGCACCTTATCTCGACACCTTAGCCTTAAGAATGAGTATGAAGAAAAATCCACCGCCACCTCTGTCCAGGGCAGGTCTGTGAGCAAGAGGACACTGGGGGCAAGGAAAGAAATGGATGCTGTCTCTCCCCGGTAGTTCTGAGGCCACTGTGCTCCAGGGACCCCAGGGAGAGCAGCAATAGAGGGCGTCTGAATGTGCCGCTGAGCCAGGTGCCCTGTCACTTCATGAGAGGCACTGTTGCTGGTTGCCACAGGACCTGCATGGGAGCCGTGGTGTGCCACATCCTTCGCTTGTCTCTTGAGCTCCTTCACACAAAAGCAGATTGCTGCCTGCAATACTGACTTCAAGGAATCAGAAATTGCCTAGAGCAAGTGTGTGTGTTCCATGACCTTTTCAGTCCTTGAAGTCTTTTTAAGATCCCTACAGGGGGTAGTGAAGAGGGGTGTATTTTATGGACGTTCGCCTTCCTATTAGGAATATGAAGGGAACCTAGCAATTTACTGTCATGTGAATGGCCTGTAAAATAGGGTTGAGAGCAGCTGGCTCTGCCTGACTGGGCACAGCAGGAATTAGGACAGTGGACAGACACACCTTCCAGGTTCCCAGTGCCTGCTCCATCAGGACCTCAACCCACCCAAAGTCTCTCACCTCAGCACAGACCTTCCACAAGCCTCCCCTGGGTACCAAGGCTCACGCCAACTGGTACCCTCGCTTATCCCTTTGGCTCTGAAAGATTTAACACTATTGTCTTCCAAAGTGTGTTGGGGGAGATTCCTTTGTTTTGAGCAATAAAGTAATACAAATAGATGCCATTCACATGCAGCTCTTGTCATCATGGTCCAGGATGAAATGGCCCCTCCTTTGTGTTCTCCACCCACTTGTTTTGCCCACTTGGGACTGCCCCGGCTCCTGTGGTGAGATGTTGAGCCGGTGGGTCCAGCCCAGGTAGGGTCCAAGTTTAGAGTCAGTAGCAAGAAGAGAGATAGGAGTTGCACCCCACCCAAGCCAGAGAGGCCAGAGGAAGAGGGGGGCCGTCCTTACTGCTAGTTCAAAGGTGGGGTACAGGTGACTGTACAAACAGGAATTAAGGGAGTAGAACCAGGTACTTCATTAGTAACAGCCTTTGAACCCTGTAGTTACTGAAGAAGATTCAGGGTCATTGTAGTGCAGCCCTCCTTAAGGAGTAGGGACACTTAGCATTGGGTGAGCCAGCCACCCCCCTCCCCCATCCCCCCGGTGTACATAAAGCACTGGTGGGTCCGACCAAGCACTTGATGGTGAGACAGATTAGTGTTTGGTCTACCTTTCTCTTTCTCAACTGGTATTGAGATTTGAGCCTGAATCGTTGAGGCCCTGGCCTTCATCTGCTGGCCATGCCTAAACCCCCAAGCTGCTTAGGGCTGAGAGACGGGCCAGAAACCCCAGGACCTAGTTCCTTTTGGGACTGTCAACATTCTGGGATGTGAGTTTTTAAGTGTGGTCAAACACTCTTAATGTACCAAATAGGGTTCCCC